TGATACAAACCACTGCAGCACAGTACCTGTAATACCTACAGCATGTTCTAATCGCTCTAATAGGATATTATGGTCGACAGTATCGAACGCTGCACTGAGGTCTAGCAGGACAAGCACAGAGATGAGTCCACTGTCAGAGGCCATTCCCAGCAATTTCAGGGTTCCTTCAGTGTCGCCTGCCTTCGCCTCTGACAGTTGACTATGGCTGCTGGAGTCCCTAGCTTCACATTTCTCAAAACAGAATCACCCACAAAAGTGGCGAGAAAACTACGTGAGAGATGAACAGGTGGTGTACCGGGGTGTTCTGTTTAGAGCTACACTTCCTCCTCACCGTCACCCAGCCAGCCTTCTTTCTTGTTGCTCAGGACTATCTGCTGAGGAAGAGCTAATGGTAGCAAAGCTAGCGTTGCCCGCACTAACTACTATCTATGCCAGAGTCCAGAGCTGGTTTTCCATTCACTGAGCCTGGCCTCCAGACGTACAATCAGGCAACATTTCTTTCCAGTATCTGTGCTGAACAGAGGAGAAACGAAACATTTGAGAAACTAGTGACTCAGCTACAAGCTAAGCTAATAGCTACGCTAAAGACACTCATTGGGTCTTTACTGTGGGTGAGTCAGCAGAAAGCGCGCTTTGGATAAATCACATGAAGATTACAGTTTGACATAAGCCTTTATCTGAAGGTATATAATTAAACAAGTCACACATGTTAACAAAACACTACTGTGCACTGTGTTAGGAACAGGAAGTGATACGAGAATGCCAGAAAAAATAAAAACTGGGGGGGTACAGGAAAATAACTGAGTCCTTCCCAGTTCACAGCCAGTAGACCAACACAGGACAAGTCATTATAGTGGGACCACAGGATGTCAGGATGCCAGCTCTGTGTTATTATTCTCCATGACTGGTGTCAGTTCTAGCTGTTCAGTGGGTTTCTGATTTGCCCTCAGACTAAACAACTACACCAGTTTGGGGAAAACAGTTTGTTAGTTTGTTTGTCCCCTGATTATCAGACAGGAGAATAATTATTAAGTTTTTAGATAAAGTTTCTTTTTGACATTGATTGCAGTGTGTGATCATAATAGGGTTGATACGCTCCTCATTAGAAGGATACGAGCACTAACCCCACGGTGTGAAGGGTTAACTAAGAGGCACAAACAGAGCTGAGTGTAGCTGCATGCTCACAGAACAGACAGGAAGGGCTGCTTGTATGATAACAGGGCGTTCCAGTGAACAAGAAATAAACACTTAATAGTGTTCCTTTAAGGCGGACATCAGCATGGAAATAAAACATCCCTATCTGTGAGGTAGGGAGTTTTCTCACAC